ACTTTCTATGAAGCCACAATTAGCTATAGGGAGGATTTGGATCTTCCTGATTTAGTGTAATAAGGTTTACTTGTTATATAGTGAATTATTATAATTAATTAATCAGTTAAATCAATTGATTGGTAAAATTTAATTTCGTCAGTGTACAGTTTCAAAAATTTTAATGTTACTATATATTATGTATGGGACAAATTATGTTCTTTTTTTTCTAATGTTGTTGCAAACCTTAGGGTCAAGTTTTAATTTTGGTCTGGGTCGTATATATAACAAACAGTAATTTTTGTTATTGACCTATCTATGAAATTTGCGGGGTCCTGTATATAGAGTAGTTAACGTTAATGTTGATATTTATTTTTGACATTGATGTTAATGTTAATGTTAATGTTAATGTTAATGTTAATGTTAATGTTAATGTTAATGTTAATGTTAATGTTAATGTTGATGTTGATGTTAACGTTAAACCAAAATTTTTTAAGCGGATAGAAGTTCTACTTGTATTGATAATAAATTAAAAAAATATATCGGGTCAGTAAAAAAAAACTTAAGCTGACTATGAATTTGATTAGTTTTGGTATTTATTATACATCATGCCTTGATTGTTTAAATAATCAAAGCCACTGTTAAATGTTTCAACATTTTAATTATAAAATAAAAAAAATTTTTTTTATTAAAATAGAATTTAATAAGTGTCTTCTGATTCGAGCAATGAAACAAAATATAAAATGAAGAATTTAAAAAAATCATGTCTTCCATTTTTTTATCTACATGACTGTCTCTTCCACCAAAAATGTGATAAGTGGAACCGCTCTGTATAAATCAAGCCCAACTACATTCATAGAAGGGAGTTTTTGACAATTATAAAGTTGTAGGCTTTGGGAAAGTCACATTGGTTTATTTTGTAGGTCAATATGTGTACGAGAACGATCTAGAACATGTATGTAAATTAATAATAATAATAATTAATGATTTTTAATTAAGGTTCGCAAAAAAATGCTCAAGGTGGGTATACTGTAAATTATTCAGTGACAATGTATGTAATGAAACTATTAGAATAGTCACAAAAATTTGTAACGAAGAAAACATCGAAGCGATCTTTCCCACTTGATCAGTATCAGCAAATCATTGTTCAGAAAGAAACATTCTATTTCGAAATCGATGGTAAGAGAGCATCGAGGAAACAGTTCTCCCTCCAAAGCGCCTTTGCCTTGACCATTATTTACAAGATACAAGGGTTAATCCTACCGCATGTAACGTTGAATGCCGACGAAAACATATTTACCGAGGGACAAAATATATGTTGCGATGAGCCATTAGAAAAATTGCATATAATTGATTTTGACCACTTTCAGTTAAAGGTCTCTAAAGCAGCGCTAGAATAATATAAGAGCTTAGAATGGTTACAAGTTTAACAAGATGGTAAAAAAAAAAAAATCTGTCTCTGGATTCAATCTATTTCAACGTTGTCTTGATTTACCGCATGAAAATTTGCATGTATTACTTTGAAGGAGTGAACGACCTTAATCTATATTTGTCAATAAAACAGTGTATATTACGGGAGATAAAACGTTCTATAGAAAGTATTCATTACATGCTCATACTCGGAACGAACAGAGCCAAGATGGTTCAACTTTTACCAAGTGGAATTTTTTGGGAAGGATGAGATAAAAACAAAGTGCTCCTTATGATTAGGCTACCTGTTATATATGAATTTTAAAAATGACTCGGCCTTTTTTATTTTTAAAAATAATAATATTATTGATTAATTACCATAGCCATAGATATTGTGTGCGATACGAGTTATTTATTACGAAGTCATCAAATCTGGCACACAGCCAATAATTCACTAAAACTTGGTACACAGCCAATAACGTTCAAAATAAATTAAAATCACTATATACAACCACATTACTTGAGTAGGGTTTTTATTCGAATAAGGTTATTCAAATTATTGACATTATGAATTTGAAATATTCGAATTACATTGAATGTCTATTATTATTCGAATAAACGAACAATTCGAATGAAATAGATAAAACGCATAATTCAAAAACGAAACGAATAGAAACGAATAAAGCGAATAAACAAATCGAATAGTTATTTTGGAATTGACGAAATGTGACAAAAAAGGATGACTATTTAACACGTACCAATATGGCCAATTACAACTTAACCTTTGGTCAATTAATTACAAACAATTTGGTGCTTGTCAACTAATTGTTTACGAATTTACTTTGGTTTTCTCTTTCTAGTACGCGCATTGTAAACACACTTATTGGCACCATTTAACTGTAAATAAATAAATAAAGACGACTCTTTTACAAAGCTCAAAGGCTTTTATAAATTCATTTGTGACCGAGTTATTCGGTTGTTTGCCTTTGCATTTATTAATGTTGGCACGTACCAATAAAAGATATACTTACGAGGGCAATACAAGTAGGGGAAAAAATTGATGCAAGACTAAAAAATATATATGCCCGGATAACTATTGCACATGTTGAGCCGATGGGAGACATATAATATATATATTTACCATTTCTGAATTCAATTCAAACGCATTTTCTTAAGGCTTTGACGGCTTGCTTCTATTTCATTTAACCTTGATGTAAGGTTCAACCAGTTTTTCTATTTATATATATATATATACACTGTTTTCACTTGATTGTAGATAAGAAATAAGAAAAAAATGAAATAAATTATTATTGTTATTATTTACAAAGATTCCAACTAAAGTATTAAAAAATCAAGAATACTAACCTCTCGCAAAATCAGGACAAACTCGGTCGTGTTTACTTCATCGACAATCATTTCGTCGACAGTTCATTTCGTCGACAGTTAATTTACATGTGATGATATTGTCACTGACTATTTTGGTGATTATAATAATTGATGATAATTGATAATTAGACAAATTGACATTTCGTTTGAATCAAAACTCAGGAAATATTTATTTTTCTGACGATGACTCTTTTCAATATACATGAAATTCAGTCATTAATATGCTTGCAAACTAATTAGTATCCAAATTTTCTTTTTATTTAAATTTATTGATGCTTCTGAAATCATGATTCCTAAATTCAAGATAATTATAATCAATGCGTATGTTACGCTAAAATAATATTAATATGAACTGTTAACGAAATGTTAGGTCAACGAAATGATTGTCGACGAAGTGATTGTCGATGAAATGTGTCAGACCCAATCAATATTTAACATATTTTTTATGATAAAAATTTGTGGAACTTTCTTTTATCTGATTAAGAAAAATGACAGCACCTCAAAATCCAATCGCTAGAGCCATCTGGGATGGTGCTTTGCCAATTAAATTTTCTCTAGATAATAACGAGGCTGAAGCATTAGGTGTAAAAACAATTGAACCTTATTTTGTAAGTTTTTCAAACTTTCAGGATTAGCATTCTCATCACTCACTCTCATCGTTTAATTGTGATAGATAGAAGCACCTCGTTGTTCATACTTCCCATTATTAACAAGTGCAATAAGAAAATATTTTCGTGATATGGCGATGAATTTTATTGTTGACGATGCAGAAATATGGTATGATGTTGATGGAACACCTTTAAAATGGTATATATATATATATATATTGTCACTCTCTACTTCTACCATAAAACAATATAATGATGATAATTAATAAAAAGGCATTATCCAATCGGACTACTATTCGATTTACATACAGGATATAGACCAGATTCGAATAGTCCTCCACCATTACCTTGGTCTTTAACTGTTCATTTTAAAGACTTTCCTGATGATAAACTAATAAGAGCTCAGGCTATTGATGCTACTCAAGATTTTTTCATGTCTATGATTAAAGAAGTAGAGTATTTTAAATTTAATTAATTAATTAATTATTAATTGATAATTAGAAAATAATATTAAATAATGATAATGTTATTGTTGCTAGGCAGATTTTCTTAGAAATGGCACAACAAAAAAAGTAATGAACTTATCAAAAAACGATCAAACCCAACTTTGGGATGGATTATGGTCTAGTATCCTTTTTATTTATTTTTATAAAATACAAAATAATATTCTATATTGTATTTTTATTATTATCTTTAACTACTATGACACCATCATCATCACCTTTTATTAATGTAAAAAGAGGATTATGATAAATTTTGGAGCATGAATTATCGTTTAGTAATTAATGATGGCCAAGTTCCAAGACATATTCCACTTCGAATATATTTACCTGGTGATTACCCAGTAATACAAGAATCAATCTCTCCTTTAAGCGAAAATGGTATATTAATAAATTTTTTTACTCAATTCATATTATTAATAATCAAAAATAACTTCAATTCGCACATACATAAATATCTAGGTAATCAACTTACACTTGGAAATGTGTTACACCAAATCCTTCCAGACTTTTTTCCATCATCTTCACCACCACCTTTATCAAATGAGAATTCTTTTGCTGCACCTATTATTCATGGTATAATCCCACAATTAGATATTCCAATAGTATGGGCTTCTCAAAATCTTTGCTATCCTGATAATTTCTTGCATATTGTGGTTTTATTAGGATTGTAGAATTATATACATCATACGATTATATATTGTAGCTATTTAATATTAATAATATTATTAATATTAATTACTAGAATATACAATATGTTTCGTAATTTGAATTCGCATCTACTTGTATTCGTTTCAATTTAACTTATTCAACAATTTTTGATGCAATAAATTCATCTCGTTCATCTTCAATTTTAATATATAAATTATAATTTTTATAATTTTTACAATTGTTATACTAATAATGATAATAATGTTCATATAATCTATTAAGATTGTTTTTTAATTTATTTGATTTTGAATATTTTGAAATGTATCTGTTATATATAGGAAAAACTATTTTATTATGTATTCATATAAAATATTAATGTTTGTATGTTTATATTAGTATTTTATACTCGATATTTCTAATGATGATAGTACCTTTTAAATGGAATTCCATTACGATCTTGTTGGTAGTAATAGTGATAACAAGATCCTATAAATTATAATAATATTCAAAGATTAATGATACTAATAATATTAAACGGAAATAAAACAATAATGATAATCATATCACATACTCACTATGGATAAAAATGGTTTTTATCACGAAGTCTATTAGCCAACTCCATATCCTTTTTCGTTAATGTAACTCTTTTAGCATGTAACGCACATAAATTTCTAAAAAAGTTTATTGCATTCTTTTAGAAATTGACATACATGTGCATCTTCAGTAGCTATAAAAAATCAATAAAGCAATTACATTCATGCACATATATTGAGGTTAATGAGTTCAATTGGCAATATAACTAAATATTTTATATATATACCATATGCCTATTTATATAAAATAACCTTCTTGAAGTGCCAATATAGCTGATGATTGCCATCTGAAGCCAACTTGGGAATCACAGGGGACTCGTGAAAGTGATCAGCAACCCTTTTGTTACACTATATGCTTATTGGTTAGGAAAGCAGGGCAGAAAAATTGATCTACATTTGGGATATATATGGGCAGCACCTATTACTATATATATGAGTTAATGATGATTCATTTGTATTTTTCAATTGGTTTGATATATTATCTAGTTTGTTTATAAAATTACTCTGCACAAATATATATATATATATATATATAAACTCTGAATTTTAAAGATAAAAATCGAAATTTGGACATTTATAATAATATACATGCAGCCCAAAATATTTTGACACCATCATAAAGGGGTTACACATGTAGTAAAATGGTGTTACACTTATGTTTTTAATAGTGAATGCCATAATTAATTTTTACTTACTACCATCAAAATTGAAATTTTGACCATCAAAATCACCAAACCAATTTGGGCTGCATGTATAATTAAAAAGCAATAACACTATAATGATGATAATGATCACAACCACTCTAATAATATTTACCTTGATCTTCCAATATAGCTTTTTTTGCTTAGAAATTTTTTATTGACATGTGTTGAGTAAATTTCTCTCACATGATCTTCCACCCATACTTTAACTTAACATTAATAATAAATAACACTTACTCAGTGAAATAAGTGACTTTGGCATCTTCTTCTAGTTCGATTTCTATTCAACATCTTAAAAAATTTAAAGTAAGAAAGATTATTTGTTACTTGATCAGCATATGCATACACAACTAATTATTATTTATGTGATGTGCATGTCATATATACAAATAAGCTCCTTATTGTTTTTTTTTTTAATAAAGAAAATGGTTATATTTTACAGAGTTCAAGATGAGGAAATGTATGGCTCTCCCAAAGAGGACATGTTGTTCATTAATGGTGAGAGGCAACACGCAATTTTTTTTGGTATTGATACACTTTGTTTTTAATATAAAATATCAACATGTGGGGCAGAACTTGTCATACTTAGGTAATTATAATAAATAAATGAATGACATCATTTTTCTTTTTGTAACTTTTATTAATATTAATATTAAATAAAAATTATAAGATGTCAAGAAAAGTGACTGTTAAAAGATAGGATATGTAATGTTTGATTATTGGATTTGCAGGTGTTGAGGTATGCACACCACCTTGAACACTTTATAGTTATTATTACATGTTCCTCACATTAATAAGACTAACCTGACCAAGATTCTTCCAATGGTATGATGATGTGACTGAATTCCAGGAGGGAGCAACATTGGGGTGTTACAAATTTCAGTAAACACAAACATAGTTGACCACACATATAAAAAGTCATATATACGGATTTTTCACCGATCAATATATGTAAAAAATTTTAATATAAAAATTCAAACTCTATCTCCTTCAGATTTGTAAAGTATACCACTAT